TTATGTTAACTCTAACCTTTCACCTTCTAACAACACAAAACATAACAACTTTCTTTCATTCCCTTTTGTGCCAGAAATTGCTAATGAAATCACTGGTCTTTTTAATAACTTTAGCACTGGTGCAAAAAACTATATTCAAATCTTCACATAAAATTAACATCTCACTACCTAACCCAAAAGAATCCTATTAAAAGAACAAAAACAGGGCATATACAGTATACGATGTGAGTGTAGAAAGATATACACAGGAAAAATGTCACGTTCCATATGAATAAGATGCAAAGAACACCAAGGTCACATGCTTAAAGGTGAATTCCAGACATCTGCCTTAACATATCATCAATATGAAACAGCTCACAAAATACTTTGGGATGAATTTCTTCTCCTATACCAATCCCAAAATAAAAAGTAAATAGATGATTTAGAAACTAAAGAAATCAGTAAACTTAACAATATCTCACTAAACATCAGCCATATTTGGACAAGATCTACTCACCATTCATATACTTGACCAGATTTTACCTCTACCTGTATCCTGTCACCTGCTGACACCATTTAATCCCTGTATCTTTTGTCTTTGTAACCTTGTATTACTTAGTACTGATCATACCTGAAGAAGGCAGACTAATGTTCTGTCGAAACATGTTCCACCATCAATAAAACTTTTCCTTATGTTTATAATTTGTCGTTTGCCTACCTATTATTATATTAGCTTAATGTGCTTCCTTACTCAAGGTCTTTATGATGTTTTTCACATGCTTAGTGCCCAGTAATGAATTATTCTTTAGAGTGAAGTTAAAACCTATGCATATAAATACATACATGAATATTGAGTAGAAACACTTCATCATAATGCTTCCAAACATTTTGATGTATTCTCTGCACTATCAATAAATATGTCCTGTTGCCAAAACAGGCAATATCACACACAAAAGTGTTACACACACATATATATATATCTATATATATATATTGAAAATTGCACATCATACTTTATGGTATAAACACATCTTTAGAACACAACCCTGTTTAAAAGTCATTAAGAAACTCCACACAACGCATCGTATTTATATCTTAATAGTAGTGCATCAAAATCATTTTGTTTCAATATAAATACTTCTAGTAATTATGTTATGCATTTTTTATACTACTACTGTAGATATATATATATATCATTAGAAACTACCATTCAGCTCAGTAACAGAAAATAGTTGTTGAGTAAACTTACATACAACTCTGCAAAATTCATTTGCAAATTTAAGCTAACAATAACTGGTACAATAGCAAGATGCATATCAGACATTTAAAAGTTCTAAGTCTGTGTTTAAAAAAAAAATATGAAAATGTAATTAATATATTAAAATGTGTTGACTGCAACTGAAAGAATATTTCACTAAAAGAAGTAAGAATGCTACTTTTGACTGGAAGTTAGATGATATGAAAAGAATAAAATCCAAAAATAACAAGCCTTTTAATGACAGATCAGACTGCCTCCAGTACATGATTTGCATTTCCTAAGCACACCATATAAAGGCAATCATAGAATTACACTTATTCATTACTTTACACAAAATGTTCTTTTCCATGATGAAGCCTATCTCATCAAGACTGTTTGAATGTACTTTTGTTTATCCTGAAGTTACAAAAAAAGAAAATGTGTCCGGAATTACTATATTATAAGTATTTTATGAAAAAAAAGAAAAAAGAATATTTTGAACAACAGACAGAGATAAAATCTCAAAAAA